CCAGACAGACTCACAATCTGATCACTTTCCTTGTTCCCTGACACCCCAGAGAAACCACACATTCCATTTGGTGGTCGTCAGAAATAACATGCTCAAGAAACCTGGAATTACAAAGCTGCTTAATTAGAGAGAGATGGTTTCACTGGGATATGCCCAGTTTTTCCCTGGTGGTTGTATCTCCTTCTCCAAGTGGCCCCCCCCCCCCCAGCAGCTAATTGCTACCTTTAGCATGGTGCCACACAGACACTCGCTCCCTTTATTTTCTGTGACATCGGTGCTTGCTTCTAAAGAGAAGTTCTCTCTTCCACCTCTCCTTCTCCATCAGTGAACTTGAGGAGCTGACATGAGTAATGAGGGTGGAATCTCTAGCCCCAGAAAGGTCCCCAGTTATTAAACGAGCATCAACTCTCTGCTAGATGCTGGCAACACGACCGGGAGCCAGATCATCTCTATGCTTATGGGGCTCAGTCCAGTGGGAGAGACAGACACTAAAATAATTTTCTAGCTATTATGAGAAGTGCTCTGAAGGAGTGATTTAGTGGGTCTAACAGGAGCACCTGATCTAACTAAGGACTTGTGGGAGTCTTTTCATAGCACATGACAGGTGGCTGACACCTAGACGATGAACAGGTGTTAGCTCACTCTCCAGAGTGTAGGGGACGGTATTCCATCTGCAGAAGAAGAGTTTTGGTCTGCATAGTGAAGTAACAGAAGGAAGGGCCAAGAAGCTGGTACCTGAGCCTGCTCTGAAATTCTGGGGATGTGTTGGAGTCCCCACCATGGTTTGACTTATCCAGGTTCTGACATTTTATTTTGTTTTTTTAAAGATTTTATTTATTTATTCATGAGAGAGGCAGAGACACAGGCAGAGGGAGAAGCAGACTCCCTGCAGGGAGCCCGACGTGGAACTCGACCCCGGGTCTCCAGGATCACGCCCTGGGCCAAAGGCGGCACTAAACCGCTGAGCCACCAGGGCTGTCCAGGATCTGGCATTTTAGAATTGGGTTGGTAAGCCAGAGGCCACAAATCAAATATGCTCTTGACTTCTGTTTTTGTAAATGAAGTTTTTTTGGAGTTTTAGCCATCCCTCTATATTTACCTACTGTCTAAAGCTGGTCTTGTGTTTCAAAAGCAGAGAGGAATAGTTGTGACAGAGACTGTATGGCCTGCAAAGCCAAAGTATTCATGAGTTAGTCCTTTGTGGAAAAATGTTGCCAACCTCTGATCTAGACCCACTCGTGGGCAAGTAGGAAGCTTGGGGCCTGGACCAGGGAACTAGCCCACAACTAATGGAATTTGAGAATTAGGGATCCAAAGACAGTGACCAAGCTCTGGTGGATTAAAGCAGTAGTAAGAAGGTGGTGGGTGGCAGGATCTGACCCCAGGCTATCTGGCTCTTGAGGTTGCACTCTTGACCACCAAGCCAGGCTGGTTGTGCAAGATTTGGCTGAGAGGGGAGAATAGCAGGGTCTGTCCCCAGAGTCAGCTAGATGCCAGCCTACAGGGATTTCCCGAGACACAGGGACATAGGACCTTTCATGAGATGGCCATGTCCTCACCCACCGTGAGGCCAGGCATACAGAGTAGGAGGCTGCCCACCAAGATGGCATGGGGCCACTGTCCATCCTTTCTGTCACTTCTGGGCTTCTAGAACACCTGTTCGTCCTCATCCTCCCTACATTTCCTTCATTATTCTGCTTCCTACTTATCCACTAAAACGGAGCTTCTCAAACTTGAATGTGCACACAGATTGCCTGGGAAACTGGTCACATTGCAGGTCCTGTTCCAGCAGGTCTGGGATGAGGTCTGAGATTCTGCATTTCTAACCAACTCCTTGACAGTGCTGAGGCTGGTGGTCGAGTAGCGAGCCCTTCAAGCTTAGCTTATATGGGTCTTAGAAGACTTACCTAGTCACTTCACCCCCACCTCATACCTTAGTTCCCTACCTTCCCACAGACTGCAGAGGTAACCAGCATTCCCTTCTGGGCATATGTCCAGGGGTCCAGAACTGGTGGGAGTCTGGAGAGGGTAAAGGGTCCTTACAATGAGGACAGAGCCATACAGTCACTAAGGTCAGGCACTGGGACGAGTGGACAACTGGATGCCCTTCCTTGGGCCTGAGAGATGTGGTCACATCTGCTTCAAAGAGTCCCCTTCCCCCACCCATCAAGGTGGAATATCATGGGTTGGATGTAACATCTCTATCGTCATCCCAGACATCATCCACTTGATGGATATGCAACATGTTTTTATAACCTTTTCCCCCTTCTAATGTAAACATCTCATATGCTCAGTACAAAAAAGGAAAAGAATTGGAAAAGGCAGAAAAACAAAAAGAAAATAAGTGTTTCTGTATTTTATATCCTTCCCATTCAGAACTGAATATTTCTCTGAGTCAAGAGATATCCTTCACTACAATGATTTATTTTTTTACCTTTTGAAATTTTAGACTGAAGCAAAAGTTGCAAAAACAGTGGAGTCCTCACGTGCCCTTCACCCAGCTCCCCCTATTGTTAACATCCACTATGACACAGAACAATGAGCAAAGCCAAGAAATTAACATCATTGCCCTTATTATTAACGAAACTACAGACCTTACCAGATTTTGCCACTTGTCCCACTAACATGTCTTTCATAGTCCAGAGATTATCAAATCCAAGATTCTGTGTTACATTCATCTGCGCTATTCCTTAATCCTCTCTGACCTGACATTTCCTTGATCTTGCCTTTGTCTTTTATGACCTTGACACTTTCAAAGAGTGCTGGACCTTTTTTTAAAAGATTTTATTTATTCATGAGAGACACAGAGAGGCAGAGACATAGGCAGAGGGAGAAGCAGGGTCCCTGTGGGGAGCCGATGTGGGACTCAATCCCAGGACCCCGGGATCACGCCCTGAGCTGAAGGCAGGCGCTCAACCACTGAGCCACCCAGGCGCCCCAGTGCTGGACATTGCTTTTGCGGCACGTCCCTCCATTTGAATGTGTCTCTTATTAGTTCATGACTCAATTCAGGTTTTATAAATTGTTGACCAGAATTCACCACGGAGGTGATACTATGTTATCAGTGAATCACATTGTGCTGTCAGTGTAACTTACTGCTGAAGATGTAAATCTTGATCCCTTGGTTAATATGATAGGTGCTGGGTTTCTTCTCAGTCAAGTTGTTATTTTTCAACATAACGTTTGAATGGCTGTATGGCTTTCCGTTAGGATCTCTACCATAATCACACCCTCTTGTTATACATTTAACTTACTTGTTTCTGTTTGGACTGTTACAAAGAATCCTGCAGTGACTGTTCTTACACATCTCAGTGCACATCCCTGATTATTTTGTTAGGATAAATTTCTAAAAACAGAATTGTTGGAGCAAATGCTATTCACGTTTCTAAGGCTATGCATGCATGAGACAGGGATGGTTTCTTCTTTCTATGTTTGTTTTAATCAACTTTATTGAGGTATAATTTAAATACAAAACATGAGGGTGCTTGGGTGGCTCAGTGGTTAAGCATCTACCTGCTTTCTTTGCTCAGGTCATGATCCCAGGGTCCTGGGATCGAGCCCCACATGGGGCTCCCTGCTCAGCGAGGAGTCTGCTTCTCTCTCTCTCTCTCTCTCTCTCTCTCTCTCTCTCTGTGTGTGTGTCAAATAAATTAAATCTTTTTTTTAAACTAAGTCAGTAAATACAAAAAATGCACAGATTTGAAGCATATTTTTCAATGAATTTTGGCAAATGTATGCCATTGTGTAACCAGCACCCCAATCACATTATAAAATATCTCTGTGACTCCCAAAAGTTCCTTGATGGTTTCCATAGTCCTCCTCCTCACCCCAGGAAGCCACGGATCTGATTTCTATCACTACAGATTAGTATTAACCTATTCCAGGATTTCGTGTGAGAATTGTACAATATGTATTATAACCATCTCCTTCAATTGGACGTAATGCGTGTGAGATCCATCCATGTTGTTGCGTGTATCAGTCATCTGTTCATCTTTATTGCTGAGCAGTATCCTATTGTATAAATATGCCACAATTTGTTTATCCATTCTTCCACTGATGGACATTTGGGCTGTTTCCAGTTTGGAGTTTTTATGAATAGAATTGCTATCTGATCACTGGCACATAAGCAGACATATATTTTCATTTCTCCCTGGTACCTGCCTAGAAGGAGAGTTGCTGGGGCATAAGTAGATGTTCGTTTAACTTTATTAGACACAACAGGGTGGAGTTATTTTTGTCTCCTTTTATAGCTCAGGCCACAGAAAGCTTGAGGGACTTGTCCAAGGGCAAAGGGAAGAAGGGAAATAGAATTTGTTGAGTGCCACGTCGTGCCAGGCACAGTGCTAGATGCTCTTCCCATTTATCTCAGAGAATCTTCAGAGCAACCCTGTAAGATAGGACATGTGGTTCCCATTCTGTAGATAAGGAAGCTGGGGCTCGTGAACTTGCAGCAATGTAAGCTTCAAGCCTAGCCCCAAATGCATCTTTCTTTGCCCAGATGTCATCCTGCCTCCTTGCAGACAGTAGGTGGGTAGAGCTGGGAAGGAGAATGCATATCCCCTCCCCATTTCCAGGCCTGCCCTTACCTGTGTCCTATTGTCCACCCTGCCCATGCACTGAGGGCAGGTCAGCCCTCAAGGCAAAGGCAATCTGTGTGTGGGGCCAGGGACTGTGCCCCCAAAGCCACAGCAGGCACTAGGGAGTGACCAACCGATACTCCAACCCTCCAACAGAAGTGTCCAGTTTCTCCCTCCCTGAAATGTGATCCTCAGAGCTTTGCTCCTCAGGGCTGGTGGGCAGTGGGTGAAGGCAGCGGGCAGGGGCCACGTCTCCCCAGCCATATCGCAAACCCATTAGGAGCAGGTCTGAGTGCTTTCCAAAGCTGATTAATGGCCTGCCTGTGACCTGGAACGTCATTACTGCCCAGGCTGGGGGACCTCCGTCAGGGTCCTTTGGGTCTTTACAGCTAATAATAATTGATGCTTTCTGTGTGGTTGCAGGGAAAGTTCTATCTGGTCATTGAGGAGTTGAGCCAGCTGTTCCGATCGCTCGTCCCCATCCAGCTGTGGTATAAATACATCATGGGAGATGACTCCTCCAACAGCTACTTCCTAGGAGGGGTCCTGATTGTTCTCTACAGCCTCTGCAAGGTGAGGTGGGCCAGGGACTGGAGGGTTAGGCCAAGGAAGATTCATGCATTTTTCTGGGCCTTGGGGGCGAGTGGGGAGCTTGGAATCTTTTTTTTTTTATATATAGAAATAAAATACACACAATACAAAATTAACCACTAATGACCTCACAGTGTACTGCTCAGTGGCACTGAGCAGGTTCAGAGGACTGTACCACCCCAACCCTCTAGTTCCAAGACATTTTCATCACCCCAAAAAGAAACCCTGTACCCATTAAGCCATCGCTCCCCATTCCTGCTCACTACCCTCCCGCAGCCACTGGCAACCACCAGTCTGCCTTCTGTCTCTAAGGATTTGCCTATTGTGGACATTTCACATAAATGGAATCCTACACTGTGTGGTCTTCGGTGTCTGGCTTCTCTCACTTAGCATCATGTTTCCAAAGTTCATCCACGTGGTGGCATATATCAATACTTCATTCCTTTTTGCGGTTAAATCCACCGTAATTTCTTGCCCATAAAGCTCACCATATGCTCTCCCTTCATGTATTTCCATTATTACTCCATATTTATGGGTGAGGAGATGGGGGCTCAGAAAGAAGCAACTTGCCCAGCATCACTCAGCTAAAGATAGCAGAGTGAGTGTCAAACTTGGGCAGTCTGCTTCCAAAGCCCAGAGCTCTTACCCATAGACAACACTTTACCCCAAACTTGTTTCCATTCCTCGTAAGTCAGGATGCAGTACTTCTCTCTCCATCATGGGTACCAGTCAGGTTTCCCCCCCCTCCAACCATAAGCACATCCTTCTCTTCTCCCTTCCCTATTTCTGGCTTTAGAGAATCCTGGGGGAATGCATGTGTTCTTCCCTTCCCTTCCTCCCAGCAGGGCTAGCCGGGCAATCCATGCCCTGTCCACCACTGGGGCTTCTCTTGCCTACTGATTCTGATTGACTGGTAATGCTTGACTGGAGTGGGCTCAGAAGAAGAGTGCTGTGATCAATTAGCAATGCCTGTGCTGGGCTTGGCAAGGGAAGAATGCAGTATGCGTGTCATGTATTTGCTATCCTGGTCAGGTAGCAAGGAAGACTGTTGACATAGGGAGCAAGACGAATGCCAAGCAAAGCTGATGGGAATGAGGAGCCCCAAATGGGATAGAGTGCCCTGAAATGTTTGTCATCAAAGACGAGGGGTCAGTGGGGGTTGCTTGGGGGTGGTGAGAGAGATCCTGAACAACCCTTGGACACTTTTTCAAGAATCATTCTCCTCTCCTTTCAGTCATTTGACATCTGTGGTCGAGTGGGCGGAGTTAGGAAAGCCCTGAAACTTCTCTGCACCTCTCAGGTGAGCCAACTTCAAAAGAACCAGGAGCCAGGAACAGATCTCACAGTGCATCTGAGGGCATTGCTCCAGTGAGGGTCCACAGCTGGATTTCTCTCTCTCTCCTCCCTCAAACAGAATTACGGCGTCCGGGCCACAGGGCAGCAGTGCACAGAAGCCGGCGATACCTGTGCCATTTGCCAAGCTGAGTTCCGAGAGCCTCTGATCCTTATGTGCCAGGTGAGCAGGGCCAGGCAGAACCATTGGGGCCTGAAGCTGGGGGTGCCTCTGGGGCCCTGTCCCATGCAGAAATTCCATGTGATTAACCCCAGGACCAAACTTTGGGGCTCTGGGATGGGTCTTTGGGAACAACATGGTGAAGACTGGAGTCAGTCATTCAGACCTGGGTTCGTATCTCAGTTCTCCCCTTACTCGGTGGGTGGCCTTGGGCAGGTTATTTCACCTCTCTGAGCCTTGGATTTATCAGTCAAGTGTCAAAAATGAAAAATTCGGGATGGTGCAGAGTCAGAATAGTCTGAGTACGAATCCCAGTGGCACTCTGGACCATGCAGGGATGGATCACTCCATCTTCCTGAGCCTTGGTTTTTCTCGTTTATGAAATGGGCATCATATATATTTACCTCATAGAGCTATTACTATGATTAAATGAGATCATCTATGAAAGAACCAAATTTGAATTATTCACCCATAAAAATTGCTCTTGATAAAATTGTTATCATCATCATAATTCCTATTACCATTTGTTTTCATTATTAGTTGTGGGTCACCAAGCCATAGCAGTAAGTACTGGTTACCCCCTCAATGTACCCCTCCTCCTGCTCCTGACATCAGGGACTAAGATGTCAATTCAGCAGATGTATGAGTCAAAGCATCCTGTCAGATACCGGGGAGGGGAGGCAGAGGGCACAGAGACCCTGTTCTCTCCTCTGGAAGCTCACGGTCTCCTTGGGGAGACAGACACATACATAAATAACTATGAAACAAGGCAGGCAGTGATAAGTGCTGTGTAAGAGAGATTCATGCAGCATCCCACGGGACCTGGATAGAGAGCGATGAGTTCCAGGTTGGGAAGGCTTTTTGCAGGAGGCACAGCCTACACACTGGCAGGAATGGGAACACAGATGCTCCCCCGTTTGATGACCACCACCACCACCCTCCGGGTTCAGAGGGCAGGAGGTGAGGTCCTTTTTTTGTACCAGCAAAACTTCTTATTTTGCTGTTTGGGGATGCTAGGAGGTTTTTGTTTATTTTTTTAAGGTTTTATTTACTTATTAGAGAGAGTGCACACAAGCAGGGGGAGGGGCAGAGGGATAGCAAGAAGCAGACTCCTCAGGACTAGCTGGGCAATCCATGCCTGGGGAGGGATTGTGTGTATACCACACACACATAATCAGGGAGCCTGATACACACATGTATATATGTATACACACACGCGCGCACGCGCGCACACACACACACACACACACACACACACACAGGGCTCGATCCCAGGACCCTGGGACCATGACCTGAGCTGAAGGCAGACAATTAATTGTTTAATCAACAGAGCCACCCAAGTACCCCTTATTTATTTTTAAATTGAGACTATCTTTGCATGACTCAGAATTCAAACTGAGGAACTCAGGAGCAGGGAGTCATGGAGGACTAAGTGCAGCATGGGACCTGGGTTGGATCCTGGAACAGAGAAAGGACATAAGGAGGAAAACTGGTTTGAGGAAATCCAGATACAGTCCCGAGTTTAGTGGTTAGTATTGTTTTCAATGGGGGTTTCTTGGCTTTGATTTAGAAAATAAAGCCAGAAAAGCCAGTTGATGATACTGGGGCACTGAAAACTTGATGAGGGTGTCAGACAAGGACTCTCTGCACTATCTTTGCAACTTTTTTGTAAGTCTAAAATTATTCCAAAATTAAAAGGTTTTTTTTTTTGATGTTTTAAAGACACAAAAAGGAAAGTGGTGGCCAGCTTCCTACCCTCCTCCCAGTTTCACAGTATCCTATATATCTTCATAGAGATGCTTTATAGATTTTAAACACCCATATGTACACATGCACACACACATGCAAATGTGTCATTTTCAGAAAGACCCATGTTGTAGCATATTCTCCCCAAGCTGTGTTCTGCATCCTTACTCTTTGACCTGAAACTCTATCTTAAGAAATAGCTCCTTCTTTGCATTTCCTTGTAGATGGACCATCATTGGTTTTATCATTCTCCTGTGGGTGGGCATTAAGTAGCTTATAATCTTCTGTTATTACAATGCTTGGCGGTCCTGAGAGGTCAGAAGTGGGGAGATCTACAGCACCTGCCTGGGCCCATCGTGTTGATTGAATGAGTTAATGCAAGTGAAGCATTTAAAACTACACCTAGCATGTGGTCAGTGTTCAATACATATCGGCTCTTATTGGCACACATTCCATTTCACACATGTGCAGCAAGCTCTTGGTAGATAAATTCCTAGTGGTGGAATTATGAGGTCAGAGGGTATACGGTTTTGACAGATATTGCTAAATTGCCCTTCATAAAGAGTGTATCCGTTTACGCTCCCAGTGCGGAGCCTGACGTGACCTCTTGCTCCCCTCGCTTACCAGCACATTGCATGTTCCAGCCTTCTCTGAGTCTGGCCAATCTGACAGGTGACGAACACTATCTCAGTGCAGTTTTAATTTGCATTTCCCTAATTACAAGTGCACTTGAGCATCTTTTCACATGGTTCAGAGCCATCTGTAGAGCCTTCTCAGTGGCAGCAATTATTTGAACATGATATCAAGGTGAAAGTCTTCCTTATTCCTTTCTGGCAATCTCTCCCAGCCTTCTTGTGTTTGTTTCTCTGCCATTCTTCTCCTGGTGCCATGACGTCTTCCCAAAGCTGGATTCAAATTCTTGGGAGGGTTGTCCTAGATCTAGGAGCACTGGCCACACGCAGCAGTGGTTGGAACCCACAGTCCTGGCCAACCCAGTGTCGCTCTGCTGCCGGGAGCTGGGCCTGGACTAGCACAGATGATTTCAACAGGTAAAAGGGCTTCATTAATTCCTGAGTGCTTTGAATGATGAGTCAAATGTTTCTTCCTCAGAGTCTTCCCTGACTCTGCTTCCCAGGACTAGCCGGTGCTCCCAGTGGTATGGCCTCAGAGATCCTTGTGTTTTTCCTTCATAGCAATTATCACAGTTGTCAGCTAGTTAATTGGACAACTGGCTATGAAAGGCCTGTCTCCTCTTTGCTAAAGTGTAAGCAAACTTGAGAGTGGTGACCATGGCTGTCTTGTTAGCTAGCAGCAGAATCACAGTACTGACTCAGTAAATTTTGGATGGATGGATGGGCGGATGGATGGTTAGATGAACAGGACAGATGAATGAGTAGGTAGATGAAGAGCCCACCAGGCTAAAGGAACATCCTATCTCCCCTTCAAAGGGGCATCTAATTAAGCACAGTGTGTCACTCACACACATGTCCCACCTCTCTGCCCCACCACCCCCACCCATCAGACCCTGGGAAGCTGCTCAGGCAGACATTGAGCATGCCCAGAGGTGAGAGCTCTCCACTCAGATGCACTTGCCCAGTTAGTCATTCCACAAGTATTTGCGGCTTGCCTCCTCCCAGGCAACGGGGGATCAAGGAAAGGGCGTGCTGAACACACAGTCAGAAACTTGGCTTATTTAAAGGACTTCTTTCCACAGAGGAAAGTCAAGGTTCTTCATCACTATGAGTTTGTTTTGTTTTTGTTTTGCTTTGTTTGAGTATTGGTAATAAAAAGGAAAGAGGGCAAGGGAATGGTGACTCCTGTTGATTTTGTGCTTACAGGTGTCTCACACTTAATGCTTTATAGCAGGCCTTAGCCATTTCCATCCTTCCAGACACCTTGTGGGGGAAACAGTGACCCTCTTTACAGAGAAGGAGGTGAGCTCAGCAAGAAGAAAGGCCAGATTTGCCTGAGGGCTCCTTTCTCCTCAGCAGCAGAACCAGATTCCAGCCCAGAGCCCTGGATTTCAGAGGCCAGGACCTTTCTACCAGATGCAGCCTCTGGCTTTGGGATGCCCTCTAGGCTGCATTAAAAGATTAGAGCCCTTTTCCTGGAAATTCCTGCTCAGCTAAGCTTGTGCACATCCTCTCCAAGGAGTGAATGAACAGCTGAGCTGGAATCAGATTCCACACCTGACTCTTCGACCCTTGCATTTACGCATCAGGTACTTTCAAGCAGTGACAACGTCCCAGCACCAACTTTGCAACCCTGAGCAACACATGTCATTGCAGCACTAACCCTCTGTGTCCTCTGTTACCCAGGAATGAAAATGCTTGCCCTGAGCCGCTTGCAGGCTCTTAAAATATAGTCCAATGAGGTGACATGTATATCTGTGTATGGGTTTTGAAAAGAATAGCCTGTAAGGCCAATACTCAGTGTAAGTGTTTAATTCTAAATCTGGACAAAGCTGGCTGGGTTTGTGTGATTAAAGAGGATCTGTGGTTAGGAGGTGTGTGTGTGTGTGTGTGTGTCTTGTTTGATAGAAGCCCCACTTTCAGTAATGTCATTTTCACAGTCAAGTGCTACAAACACCCCTTCCCACAATCTCTATGTGTGACCAGTATGCATCATAGAACATAATGGGCGAGAGTACTGTAAAGTCAGATACCTCTTGTATCAGTTACCCATTGCTGCATAACAAATTACTCTAACACTCTGTGGCATAAAGCAACTACCATTTATCATCTCAGAGTTTCCAGGAGTCAGGAATCCAGGCACAGCACAGCTGGGTCCCCTGCTTCAGAGCCTCTCCCAGGCTCCCATAACAGCCAGGGTACCCTGGGGGAAGGATCTGCTTCCAAGCTCAGTCACATGGTGGTGGCAGGATTCAGTTCCTTGTGGGCTGTAGGACCAAGGGCCTCAGGTCCTCACTGACTGTTGTGGCCAAAAGCTACCTCAACTTGCTTGTCACACTGACTTCATCAGAGTGAACATGTGAGAAGCCCAAGGAAGAGTATGAACAAAATGAAAGGCACAGTCTGCTGTAACTTCCATCTCAGAAGTGATGTCCCATCATCTTTATTCTGTTGGCTTGAAGCAAGTCCCTAAGTACAGCCACACTCAAGGGGAGGGGACTGGCTACACAGGGTGTGAATCCCAGGAGGAGAAGATTACTGGGAGTCATGATAGAAGTCAGCTTACCACATCTCTGAAGTATTGAATTCCAGCCTCACTACTTAGCAGCTGTGTGCCCTTGGGCTGGTGGCTCTCCTTCTCTGAGTCTCACTGCTCTGTGAGCTGTCATGAGACTGTACATAAAGGACATTAGAAGTGCCTGGCACAGCATTTGTGCTCAGTGAAGGATAAGGCCTATGATTAATCATTACTTGTACTCCTCACCTGAACACATCCACCTAGACCTGGCCTGGCTGCTTCCTTTTTTTTCTCAGTTCACACCAAACCCCAAGTGCCAGGCTAGGAGCTGCCCTCTCTCACTCAAATGGGGGTTAACTACTGTGGTTTGGGGGGCTCTTGTCCCAAGATAAGATCTCTTATCTCACTTTACCCATCTGCTCCAAATCTTTGAGCAAGACTTGGGGAGTCTGGATGGAACTCAGGGGGAGGGGAGGGTGACACCAGGGGCTCCTCACCCACCTCTGTGCTCCAGGAGGCACAGCCAGGGAACAGTCAGTGACCCAATGCCACCTGCCTTCCCCACTGACCATAAACCCACACGATCCTACACTTCCAAGCCCAAGAGGGGCCCCTCCTTCCCTTCCCTCTATAGGGTCTAGTCCTTCTCTCCAGATGCTGGGGGCAGGTCCAAGATGGTGACCTTCTCCAGCTGGACTCCTGGGTTGATGTGTGTTCTTCAGACCTCTTTATTTGGCACTGGATCCCATCCTGCCTCATTGTCTGAGAAGGAGACTGTGAGCTCCCAGAGGGCAAGAGCCAGGTCTGAACCATCCTGGTATCTCCAGAATCTCCCACCTGACCTACCTGGGAAGGCATTCCTTTGTCAGCTACATTTATGGAATCCCTGGTCTGTGCAGGCTCAGGGCTGGGCAGTGGGAACACATCAACAGTTGCTACCCTCATGAAGTTTGCCACCCGGAGGGTATGTCAAATGGTAAAGGAGCAGTTAGAAGAGTGGTTCTCAAAGTGTAGTCCAGGAAACCCCTGGTGTTCCTTTTCATTTTCATTAGCTCATGGAGTCTTGTGTTTTCAATAGAGCTTAGTTTCCATTTCTAATACAGCAAATATAGCCAGATTTGACCCTCATATATAAAAGCTCTTTAAGATTATCAATGATTTTTAAGACCATAAAGACAGGGTCTTGGAACCAAAATATTTGAGAACTACTGAATGAGACCTGTGAGAGCCTCCATGAATGTTTTATGGATGACAGAATGAAAAGCTGCCCCTTTCCCATTCACCTGACACAGGTATTGAGCTTCATGTGAACAGGGCTTGTGTTGCTTTATTCTATGTAAGTACCTCCTTTTCCCAGGGAACCAGTTTAAGTCTCCCTCATTTGTTGAGCAGACATTTACTGAGCATCAGCCACATTCTCAAGACCCTGTGGGCAGCATGGTCCCTGCCCTCCAGAAGCCCTTAATGCGGTGAACAAGATAGATGAGTTTGCGGATCATTGTAGAGGCATGAGTGTGATGTTGTGAGAGGGTCCTCCCCAGGAGGACCTGAAAGGGAAAGGCACAGTCAGCACTTAGCTTTGCTGGGCACTGTATGGCATGGAGGAGGTACATCCCGGAGCAGGGGAGGTGTGATGGCTTGGGCTAAGTCTTCTAAGAGGAGTAGGCACCTACCGGCTGCTAAGGATGGAGAAAGGCCATAAGGGCATCCCAGACTGACATTACAGCTTGCCCAGAGGCTTAGCAGTATGGAAGAGCTTTGCATTGCAAGTCATCCAGTGTGTCAGTGACATCAGCTACCCTGGGGTGGAGACAGGGTGGAAGGGTGAGGAGAAGGGGGTAGAGAGGAGGGCGCCATTATGGAGGGCCTTGAGTGCCCTAGGTGGGAGTCTAGAGAAGTTGCTGGGCCTGCTGAACCCTGGGTCCTGCCCTTCAGACCGTGGTGAGAGTCCAGGCACAGCCCTTAAGGCTCTGTGGCCTGCTCACCTCCTGCCGCCCACTCCCTACACTCTCCAGCTATAGCCACATTGGCCATCCTTGTGTGCCTCAATGCCTTCCCATCTCAGGGGCTTCACACAGCTGCTCCCTTCAGCCTGGAATGCACTATCCCTACCCGCTCTCTTCACCCATTTAACTCCTAAATGTCCTTCAGGCCTCAACACAAGTGTGCCCTCCTCCAGTAAGCCTTCCTGACTACCTCCAGGATTAGACTGGTCCCCTGTTGCATAGAGGATAATGGAGCTCTCCTTTAGAGCACTGTTTACAAGTAGGCACCTACTATACACTTTACAACAAGGTTACAATCTGGCACTGAGGGACAGATAGATAGGTATAATGTAATAATAACTCTTACTATGTGATAGCCAACATTTATAGCACATTTGGTGTTTGCCAGGCAGGGCTCTAAGTGCCTTTTTAATTTAATTTTTTAAAACTTTTTAAGAAACACTGTATTTGGATTTTCATATTATCATTTTAAATCATCGCTTTTCTTTTGAAAAATTGCAAAGCCTCAGAGCAAAAGGATAGTAGAATGAACACCCTTTTATCTTTCATCTGGATTCGCTAATCATTGGCATTTTACATTTGTCTTTTCTTGATGTTAATGATTTTCCCCCTAACCAGTTGAGAATAAGTTGGTGACATTTTGATTCTTTATCCCAAAATATTTCAGTGTTCATCTTTGAAGAACAAGGACATTCTCTCCCGTAACTGTAATTCCACCGTCATGCCCAGAAAATTTAAAATTGGTATAAAATATTATCTAGTATATATAGTATTATGTATTATATGAAATATAAGACATAGTATTATAATATAATAATATAGTATATCATAATATTATATAGCATATATATGGCTTTCTCCAATTGTCTTTAAGATATCCTGCATAGCTAGGCTTCACCCCCAACCGGGCTCCAATTGAGGATCATATACTGCCTTCACTTGTTATGTCTAAACACTTTTAATGAGCATCAGTCTTCTTAGGAGTGGAGTACTCTTAACTGCATTTTGGGGGTTCCTGGCTGACTCAATCAGTAGAGCATGCGACTCTTGGTCTTGAGGTCATGAGTTTAAGGCCCACACTGGGCATTGAGCTTACTTAGAAAAAGAGGGGATTCTCTCCACTTCACCTGACCTCTCATTTTACAGATGAAGCTGAGGGATTGGGAGGTTGAGTCATTTGTCCAGTGGCTAAAAAGTGGTAAAACTCGTTGGTATTTCCAGTCTCCTTGTCTTCCTCTTAACCCCTGAGCTCTGTTCTCAACCCAGCAGCTAAAGGCTCTTTTAAAAATGCAAATTCTGGGGGCACCTGGGTGGCTCAGTGGTTGAGTGTCTGCTTTCAGCTCAGGGCGTGATCCTGGGGTCCTGGGATCGAGTCCCACGTTAGGCTCCTTGCATGGAGCCCGCTTCTTCCTCTGCCTGTGTCTCTGCCTCTCTCTCTCTCTCTCTCTGTGTCTGTCATGAATACATACATACATACATACATACATGCATGCATGCAAATCCTGTTCAGGTCACTCCTCTGCTCAGAGCCTGACCATGGCTCCTTACTTCTTTCTGAATAAAAGCCAAAGGCCTCATGATACTCATAGAGCCCTATACAATCTACATCCCTCCATAGCTTCTCTGACCCCATCGCCTGCCCAATAACCCTCCATCCCCAGGCTCAGCAGCACAGCAGGCATAGTCCTGCCTCAGGATCTTTGCACAAGCCATTCCCCCTGCCTATAGCACTCTCCCCAGAGATCCTCAGGCCTCAGTCTTTACCCTCCTTCAGGTTTCACTCGGATGTCAGTATTCAGTGACATCCTCCTGGCCCACCATGCTGAACACAGCAGCCCTCCCAAGCACTCCCTACCCACTTCCCCAGGTTTTTCTTCTCAGCACTTATCACTGATATACTCCCTAATGTATTCTGGAGATTGATTTGGCCCATCATCTCCCCCAACAAGAGTGCAAGCTCTATGAGGGCAGGAGTCATCTATTCCGTTCACTGCTATGTTCCCAGCTCCTAGGAGCGAGGCTGGCACATAGCGGCCATTCGGCAAAGTATCCCAGTCCTACTGATTGCTGTCCCCACAGCACGTGTTCTGTGAGGAGTGCCTCTGCCTCTGGCTGGATCGGGAGCGCACCTGCCCGCTCTGCCGCTCGGTTGCTGTGGACACCCTGCGCTGCTGGAAAGACGGGGCCACTTCGGCTCACTTCCAGGTGTATTAGGGACTGAAAAACTAAGACTCTGGGCTCCCAGGCATGCTCTGGGAGCTGAGGGGTGGCCAGCATGATGGGTCCGGCTCCGGGGGCTTCCTGGAAAACAGGCTTCAAGCACTTCTTATCCTGCCTGCTGCCTTTCTCCAGCAATTTCCCTAAAGCCAGCCCCCTGTCCTGACCTTCACCTTCCTCTTGTGTTCTGGGCATAGCGCATGCCTCCGTTCTCCCCTACAAACCTCCTGTCTCAGACTCAGCCTCCTCCAGGTGGGTCGCCTGCCCCCTCCACGTGAAGGGACAGGTGACACACAGGTCCTGCCTGTTGTTATTTTAATTCATGCTGACCTGACGTGGTACTTGGGTGGGGAGGGGCCTGGAGGTCGAGGGGCCTGGAGGTTACAGCCCCTCCTGAGATGGCACAGGTCTGCAGATTAGAATCACCATGGAGCCTTTCCCAAATAAAAATGTTGGGGCCCCATGTTGTACCTAAATAACTGAGTGTACCAAGCACTTCATGCAAGATGAGCATCCTGCTTGGATGACCTCTTGTAATCCTTGCAACAGCCCCTGGGTTGGAGGTACTGTTGCTTCCTCTCTTTCAAGGATGAGGAAACTGAGGCACCAAGCCCCATGTGGTAACTTCCCAGGGTCATCCAGGTAGCAGTGGTGGACCGAGTTTCCAACCAGGCCCACCTGGCTTCAGAGCCTGCGCTCTCAACCACCATGCTCCCCTGCTGCTCAGACGCTGCAGGCGTGGGGCCCAGCAGACATGGATTTGTAGAAGCATGAGAGGTGATTTTGGTGCCCATCAGTGGCCCAGGTGCATAGCACATTTGCTTTGGGTCTCACTGAAGATGCCAACGGTGAGGCCTGGCTCTGGAAATCTAGCTGTGGCTGGGTTCATGGAAAGAGTTGGTCTTTAAAATCGCAATGTTGCTGGGCTCTGGCTGGGATGCACAATCGCATTTGGATATCGAGAATGGCCAGCTCTGGTCCCAATGCAGATATCACTGGGTCTCCACACCTGTCTTCATCTCTCTGCTCCTCCTTCTGTTCTTGTCCTGTCCATCACTAAAGTCTCAGCTTGTCCACAGTGCCTGTGGCCACCGCCTTCTCTGCTGGTGGCCTTGAGAGCAAAATGCATGATCCATGTGGTGGATTTTTCCACAAGGCAGTGTGGTGGCATAGAGTACAGTAGCAGTCAGAGTTTCTGTCATCTCTACTGCAGAACTACTAATCTCCATAACAGAATAGTTCTCCACTTGCTTTGAATGTGGAAGGAGATGGCACAGGTGATCACTTAGAAGCTTCTGGAATCTTGCCTGCCCTAACCCTCTCCCCACTCTGTTCACTCACCATCAACCTCAGCACGATGGGCTGGTGCCAACGGCATTACAGAGAAATCAATCTTGTGGCTCGTGAGCAGATTAGCAACAAAGCCCCCAGCAGAAATGGTGGGAGACTCACTGCCACCTCGCTCTCAGCCAGTAATAACAAGTCTACCCCATCCCCAATAGTTTCAGGACATTTGCCCCCATGTGTTATCAAGCCAGGACCTTTTCCTGTGCCTGACATCCCTGGCTCTTTCCTGGTACCCAGCAAGACATCTCTTCCAGGGCAGCGTGGCATCTTTCAAGCTCTGTTACTATGGCAATGGCTGCGATGTTACAATCCCACTTGCCTGGATAATCAAGTCAGAAGGGGAAGCGGAGGGAAAGGGGGCCGGGTGGATGTGGCTGCTCTGTTCTCCCTGCCTTGAGGAAGAACCAAAGAGAAGCAACAGGAGCTTCTGTGACTGGTTTTTATCAGAAAGATCACCCTGCCTACAGATGCCATCAAAGAGACACAAGAAATTGGAGCTGGAGATTTATTAAAGTGCTAGCTTGTGACAGAGCAGATAGACCAGAATTCTGATTCCAAACTCCACATGACTTTGGGAACTCACTTCACCTCCTCGAAGCCATCTTTAGGATGATGAAACCTTGTAGATTAGCTGCTGGAGCTAGGAAAACTTAACAGTGTAGAATAGCGGCGAAGGCACTGGTGGGCTTGACAGTTTCACTCATGTCACCAGAAAAAAAGAGAAAAGAAACCCACACATCTCTAATAGTCTTCAAATAATGAGCCATGACTCTGACATTATAAACAGTGTCACACGCAGGGGATACTTGGGGGCAGGTGCGAGGACTTAGTTTAAGATTTTACTTATTCATTCCCTATCCCCTTGAGGAAAGTTCCTTCTGGAGGTTTTCTTTTGGATGGGAGGAACTTCTGCCCTGAGGAGGAACAGCGGCCGGTTAAGAGTCTCCCAAACATCAGACTACATATGTTCCCCACCACGTGAAGGGATTACAATCTGCATCCCTTTTGGTAAAAGCAGCCAAGGGTTGTCATTGGGAAAGAACATTCTCCATTGCCCATCCTGGCTCTGCAACTCCTTTGTTATAAGCAGGATTAATCGAGTATCGGGTTGGAGTATCCTGCTCTTAATATTTTATGATTCACTGACTCAAGTTCCTGAAACTCTTGGAAATGGCTCTCCTAATGTAGAAGATCATGAGCATAATTAATGTGAGAATAAAAAGGCAAGCTTTAGACCTGGATGGAACAGGCTCATTACCTTCCTAAGAGGAGAACCCGAGAGACGCTTGGAGGCTCCAGGCGCCTGGGACCTTGGGTTGGAAAGAGGAAATGTAAAGCAAGTCCTGGAATCTCTTAGTAATTTTCCTCTGGGCTGGACAGAGCGGCCTTTGATGTTTTTAATGTTCCCTTAAGTTCCTTTCTGCTAATAAATAATCATTTATCGATGAAACTTCGGTTCGTGGTCTTGAATCTCCATTTGCCTCTTGAAGCTGGGTGGAGGTGTTGGAGGAGGAATGCTGAGAAGCACTTCAGGCAGCAGTGGGTGGTTGTCTGATGTTGCTCCCCCCCCCCCCCCCCCCCGCCCCCCAAGCGGATCGGTTGAGTTGCATATGCTTAGGAAGTGTTCCCAGGAGAAACCAGTAAAGGAGGGGGGAAGAAACCAAGTAAGAGGGTGACTTTCAGAGAAGTCCCAGCTCAGTGTGGTCTCTCGGAGCTCTAGAGCATCAGCTGCATTTCAGGGTTTGTCCCATCCTGAGGTTTTTTTTGTTTGTGCACCATCAGTCCTTGGATATGGCTTGCTGGTGGAGGAGCCCCTGAGGCTCTGAAGGTGCCAGCAGCCACAAAGCACATAAAAGTGCAGGATGGGGATACAGAACTGGTAGGAGGGGTCAGAAGGGATCTGGGCAGGTCACCTGCAGGGCTTACCATGGTGATTAACCAGAGGACAGACCCAGAATGTACGAGCTAATGATTCAAGGCGGGTTTGCCTGGGTGCCAGATTGTGAAGGACATTTAAAATGTAAATTAATAGCATTAGGTGACAGTGTGTGCTTCTCAGGACATGGATATGAAACCAAAACTTTGATGTCACAAAAACATCATCAGGCAGAACTTTTTTGTTGCAATTATTTGAAAATTAACTCAAATATGGCTTAAGTAAGAGAATGGCTTTATTTGGCTCATGTGACAGTATGGGCCTCGAGTATAGCTATGTTCAGGGGTTCTAGTGATAATAGAGTCATGTCTTTCCATCCCTCAATCCTGCTTTCCTCTAAGATAGGGTGATTTTGAGGCAGTCACTCCCCATGTGCCAGTAAGATGGCCTCCAAAAGCTCTCTGCTTCTGTTCTACCAGCTTAGCAACCCCAGCAAAGAGCTTCTGCTTCCTCAGAGCTACAGCAGGAATCCTGAGGCTGACTTGCTAGTTTGTCCCCAAACCAACCCCTATGGCCTTTGGGACTTGGCGTCCTGCTGGCCAGGACTGCATCAGGTGTTGAGCCCCGGCTGTGGGGACAGGGGTGTGTAGAAGGATAGGGTCAACACCTCTAAGTCACAAAGATGGAGAGTGAGGCAGGGGTGGGTCCCTAAGGAAAAAGAAAGCATTTACTATCTAGAAAAACCACCTGTCCCTAACTCACCATTCTTAGGAAAAGACTACAACTTGATTGCTCAGAGTATCTTAGACCAGGTAAATGTAGGTAAAAGGAGCCCACCAGAGAGACCCCTGTGCCCATGTTTGGAGACATCAGTCTGCACAGCCATTATAGCTTATATGCATGGCACCGTGCCTAAGTGATGGTTCTGTACACTGATCTTGAACTGTCAGGCGGGTTCCCTCAATGTCTTGGCCAACCCAAGGGTACTGTTTAGGCCAATCCTCCCCTTAGGGAGTTCTCAGAAATACCCTCAGAGAAGGGAGGTGAGTGTGGCCTCCTGCTCCAGGAAAGGTTGGGGTGTACAGACAGATCCTCCCATAATCTTTGGGGACCAATCTTTCAAAATGAAATGAAAACGCAAAGGCCTTTGGCTGGAAGCACACAACCAGTTTTTTAATAAAGTCATTACAAATATGTACAAAGCGTCTCCAAGGTATGAAATTCCTCTTACAAAAGAGCACAACAAACCAGCAAGGTTAGAACCCAGAATGGAATGTTCCCAAGCTTATTGCCTCTCTGGCTGAGCCAGAGGCCTCACCGAGGTTCCAAACACCTCCACAGCTATCCCTGTCACACACACACATAGACTCCTGGGCACTTATAGTGCAAAAGACTTAAGGGTTCCGGTCAGGGAGGGGACAGGAAAGAGGTAAGAAAAGCTTCCCATGTCCTAGGAAGTAAGTTGAACAGGCCCTGTTTGCAAACCAGACGCTCCTCCAAGGGACCTTAGAGAAATTAAGGACACAAATGGCAGGGCATAAATACATAAAATTGCCAACTCAACCAATCCAGCCTGTTCTGGAGTGTTCCCAAATGCAACACTCTCTTGCTCCCTGCTGGGCCCTAGGCTGTGCTTGCCCTTGAACTAGCAATGCTCTGGACCAGCTGAGGAGGGAATCCAGTGTGACAGAGCAGTTAGCTCATGGGTTTGCTTGGGGGGATTGGGGGGGTGGGTCATACAGTCCTGAGTTCAAATCTTGGCTTGGCCACTTCATTCTTTGTATGCAGCCTTAGGCTAAGTTGAAAACCTTTTGAGTCTCGGCTTCCTCAACTGTAAAATGGGAATAATAACTACTGTCTTCCAGAATGGGTATGAGGAATAACTGCAGAAACGTGTAAAGCACTCTCCACAGGGCTCAGGAGTGGTGAGCACGCTGTAGATGGTGGCTTTTGTTACTGCATGAAGCAGCAAGAAAGAGCTAGGCTTTTCATGCTGGGTGTCAGTTGAGATCACAGGCTTTTTAATTTCCTCCATGACTAGTAGTGCTCTGTAAATATAAATACTATAGAACCATCTGCCAGCAAGGCTTGGGGTGATAGGGATGGCCTGACAAATCTGTTAAAGACCATGAACCAGACTGGAAAGGGACAATTAGCATCATCTGGTTCCAGGCAGGGCTGCCCCTCCACACTCCATACATAAGTTTCTTCCCAGATGGGATTCTACAACCTGGCACATTGTAGGTGCTCAATAAATAGGTATTGGATGGAAAAAATTGCTATTTTAAAAAGAAAGTTTTGGTCTAAGCTTTAAAATGACACTTAATGACACCAACATCCTCCATCAGCTCCTATGGGACTAGGCTAGGGTGTTTAGCCTGTGCCCCCTCACCCTCCAAGCAACTTCTGACTCTGATTGGCCCAGGCTGACTTAAGGAAAGATTCAGAAAAGGAGTTGGTATCAACATAAAAAAAAATCTGCATTCTGATCACGGCAGCTTCTGATACCAGGTGGACACTCAAAAAGTCCACAGTGGCAAACCAGTGTCCCCAAAAGAGACTTGTGCAGGATCAGATATGGACTCTCACAGTTTCCCAACTAGGGGAAGTGATATTTTATCAAGGTCAGAAACATGATAATAGCACGAGATCTGCTACGTAAGTTGTGAAACCAAAGTCACAGTTTCATCAGTCTGTGACAATATTGTTTAAATCACCATTTTTTTCCATCAAAATAGAAAAGAATTTCTTAAATGAGACCACTGGGAGAAGTAGAAAAGAAGTCTCCAGTAGCTCAATGGAAGAGAGGAAAACAAAATGGGAATTGGGTTCTAGGAGAGGCTCATGGCCTAGGACCATGGACAGCAGCCAGAGAGGGAAATGGGCTTCCTCCTAGAAACCTGTTACTCCAGCTACATCTAGGCCAGGAGGAACATGAAATGGAATCCCAAATTTGAAATGGGGTAAGGAGATCCTACTTGCTTATGGGGGATGGGGAAAGAAGCTTCCAGAAGGGAACAGATCTAATTTGGAATGGGAATGTTAAAGTCCCAGGAGGCTCCTGTCCCTGTGGCTTCTGGACCCCCACCCTCTGAGAGCAACCAGTACCATCAGGAAGGAGGCCCTTCTGTTTGCTCCTCACCTCATTATGCAGCAGCTACCTAAACAATGATCTCAGAGGCCTCCCTCTGCTTTGCACGGACACGCGTGCGCGCACATACACGCACACACACACACACACACACACACACACTGCTGTCTGCTGAAACCCGATATGAGGTCTTTTTTAAAATTTATTTCAAAGCCTCCCTCCCTCTCCCTCTCTTCACAGACGCTCTGCAGTGAAGCTAATCAAAATCAATGACTCCTTGGCAGCCGGAGAAAAGCGGGGGAGAGAGGGAGGGATGGTGCCAGCACTTTGCACACTGTGGAAATATTTAAAAAAAAAAAAAAAACACCCCACTATCTCATGCAATCCAAGTAATGCAGCCTCAGAGACGGTGGAGACAATATATACATATATATCATGCTTCAATTTCCTAATACAAATGTCCATCAAGAAGTCAAATCTCATATAAAAACAAGCATTAAAAACAACCCCTTGTCAAAAATCGGGGCAGTCGAGAAGTGCACTCAAATTAATGATGTGCAAGAAAAAGCCAGGATTAGATAAATACACAGTTTCTATTAATATAAGAGAATATGTACAAGGGACTTGGCTATAAAGCTCCATCAGGAGGTCACGGGTGTCCAGTTCTCAGCAGTGTGGCTTCATTGAAATCAAAATTGCCCCAAACACCAACCCCAGCATTTGGAGTTTGGATCCTCCTGCGAAAATGTCAGAAGCTAGTAGGTAAGTCGGGGCTGAAAAAAGAGCTTCTCTGACATATCACCTCTCCCCTGTGTCTGGATGGTCAGTGTGGCCCTACTGCAGTGTTGAGGGTACAGCCTTAAAGCAGCAGAGTAGCTGTGATCACGTACCATTATAGTAATGAAAACCCCCTCCCCAGAAAATGGGCTGAGCCGGAAAGACTCTAGTGTTTGGCTCGGAAAGTGACAATACAGAGGCAGACACCGTGTTTCATATCATTCTAATTAATGTGCCTTCTTTAAGTTCGTGGCTTGGTGGGGATGTTGCCTGCTGCTCTCTGCAGACCTGCCCACACACTCATCCCCTGCAAACATAAATGTGGGGAGGGCCCCCCTCAACAAAAGGGAGCAAACTCTCCATTAACAAGCTTTCCTTTTGCACAAGCCTTCTGGAGGTGGAGGCGGACAGACTGCCCTCACCTTCAGTGCTTTGGGTTACATTTGTCTTTAAAGGGCTATTTAGGAAAACATAAGGCATGGAAAAAAGAAAGAAAGAAAGACAGCTCCCAGCTTGCAACAGCGCTAAAAGGTCCTGCATTCTAAAGGACCTGGCAATTTTCAACAAAGCCTGTGGGGAATAATTCAACCCCATGTCAACCTTAGCAACGGCTGATCCCTCTGCTGGCTTCTTAAAACTGCAAGGGTGTCTGCAAATCAGCCCAGTGGACCCCCTGTCCATAGGGACTGGGTGGTGACCTGCAGATCCAGCCTTGCAGAATGACAGTCTGATCCCCTCACAGTCTGGAGCACCACCACCTCAGCTTTGCACAGGGCACCGTGTGAGACCCAGCTCAGAGGAATAATACCTGGTGTTTTTTTGCATTTTAAAAAATAAAAGCAAAAAATAATAATTGCTCCCTGAAGAGGCTTTGCAGCCAACTCTCAGTCCAGCACACATCTTTTTTTTTTTTAAGCCCTTCTAGAAACTTATGAAAATAGTAGCTTATCCTGGGGGAAAAAAATCAGACCCTCTGTCAGTCAGTGAGATGCTGGTGCATTTCATTTAAATGACCCGCTCCCTCCCCCAGTGCCTCCTCCTATAAATCACCCTTGACCAGAACGTAGCCATTCCTTGGCTCTTTAATCCATAAAAACCTAAGCCCTGAAATCCCCTTGGGGAGTGGGGGAGGCCATGGGCTGAACTCCCAAGATACTTTTGCGGGGGTAGAGGACATAGCAAACAAGTCACATATGAGGTCAGCTTTCCGCCTCAGTAACCAGCAAGCCACTCCATACCATCCCTTCCCTCCCTCCCCGCCAGATCCCACGGTTTGCTCCAAAAAACGCCTCTGGATTTTCATCCCCACAGAGAAAGAGAAGAGACTCTCAAGTGGCACTTTTGCGACCTGTCCCTTTAAAAAGAGAATTTGAAACAGCAAAATAGAAATCTCTCTTGTCCCCTGGCCTTGCAGTCTGGCAACAGAACACCATGGCAGCACCGGCAAGAACACAGCACCAGCAAAATTTAAGTGAAGCACCAGAGACACCAGACTGGTAGGAGGAAAAAAAAAATCTCAATTGTCTTGATGTGACAGCAGGACCGTCTATCTACCTACATAGGTATAGAGAGACTAGGACTTGTCAAGACTTTAGAAATGGAGAATCCCAGACTGCCCCTACAGTGCTCCTCCTTGTCCTCCTTGCTTTTTCTCTATTTTGCCTTTTTGCAATTTCACCACTCACTCCACCAGCATCCCTCCCCAGGTGGTGGGTCAACTCTGGGGCTAACTCCCACCAGTCTTTGCAGATTTCCTAGGTACACAGTAGGCATCTCTCTTCCGGTGCCCCAGACACAGAAGCATCAAAGTTCACATGGGAAGGTGCAGAAAAGGGAGGGGACTGTGTCCTTGACAACACATGCACTGAGTAGTAATATTCATATTTTCTTTTTTTATATATATAGAGCTGTATGTAAATAGCATTGGGGTGTCTGTTTCTGCAGCTGGATATGCAAAGGGCTTCCCCAGTTCCTTTCCGCACACATTGCTACTATTGCTCCAGGCTCCTCTTCACTTCCTTCTCGAAGTGCCAACTGCGGCCTTTCAAGCTCTGGGCTCCCCCTCAGGAAAACGGGAACCAGCTTTCTCCAAGGACACAGGGTTTTTCACCAACCTGCAGAAATAAAGATTGGTATTTCGGTCAGTAGGCACGTGCAGACAGCTGCTGGGGATGACGTCAGTGCCTTGGGCTTCTGCACTGCCAGCCCCGAAATGTCCGGGAGGGAGGCAGAGGGGGATGGGAGAGAGCTGCTAGACACAAAGCTTTGATTTGGAGGAAGGGCTCCCCAGAAGCTAGATTTTGCACCCGCCCCCATCCCTACCATGGCCAAAGCCCTGTCCACACAGCAGCCATCCCTAAACAAACATTTGTTTGTGCACACACACACCCATTTCTGTTTTCAGATGTAGGCATCTTCTGTGATTAAAAAAGAGAATGTAGGGGCCCTGGGTGGCTCAGTGGTTGAGCGTCTGCCTTTGGCTCAGGTCGTGATCCCAGGGTCATGGGATCAAGCCCCACATGGGGCTCCCTGCAGGGAGCCTACTTCTCCCTCTGCCTATGTCTCTGCCTCTCTCTCTCTCATGAAGAAGTAAATAAAATCTTTAAAAGAGAGAGAGAGAATGTAGAACCACTCTGCCCCTTTGCTCCTCCAAATCAGGAACAGGACCTTCATCTATTCATTTCACAGATCCATACTCAAGGCAGGCTTATAGGATAGTCTCTGCTCTCATTTATTCATTCATTCCCAAAACATACCAAGAATCATGTTAGGTGTCACAAACCCAATGACATAGCTCTTGCCCTTTAAGGGGTTCAGAAACCAACAGAAAGAGATAAGAAGAACTTGATATCAAGGACATTGTCGTGAGAAGAGCAGTCTGGATAAACACGAACTATGGGAGCCCAGGAGGGAAAGGGGGAGTCAGAGCCCTTAAGAGAAAGAGTACTGAGCGATGCTAGGAAATTAGCCAGGATAAGATGAGGCATTCTGGGAAGGGCAGAAAAAACAGTGCTTACCCCCGAGAATTGAAAAACATATATTTGTACAAAAACTTGCGCATCGGTATTTAGAGCAGCATTATCCATAATAGCCAAAAAGTGGAAACGACCCCTAAGTCCATTGACTGATCAAAGCGGGTATTTCCATTCAATTGAGTATTGTGCAGCCATGAAAAGGAGGTATGGACACACTATAACCCGGATGAGCCTTGAAGTCATTATGCTAAATGAAAGAAGCCAGACAGAAAAGATCACATACTGTACGGTTCCAACGTATGACAGGTCACCAAGAGACAAGTCTTTAGGGACATGAAGTAGATTAGTGGTTGTCCAGGGCTGTGGGGAGGAAGGAGTGAGGGAGTCACCACTAGTGGGGATAGGGTTTCTTTTGGGGATATGAAAATGCTCTAAAATCGATTGTGGGGATGGCCGCACAACTCTGGAAATACAATAGAAACTACTGAGTTGTGTACTTCAAAAGGATGGATTTTCTGGCAGGTGAGTTACATCAGGAGGAGGAGGAAGAGGGAGCAGAGGAAAGGGATGGGGGAGTGGCAGGGACAAAGGGAAGAAGCAGGACAGAGGAAAGAACAGAGCAATGAAATACCCCCACTAGGTCAAGGTGCTTGATGAGACTCCAGCAAAGCCTGGGCGATGGGGCGGGGAAGGGGTGAGGCCAGAGAGTTAGCACGGGCAAGAAGTTCGCAGAGGACGGCACGTTGGTCCAGAGCAGGGGGTATGAGAATTGCCATGTGAACAGGACAGACCAAGTGGTGTAGGAGACAAAGTGGGAGAGAGATCACTTTCTGAACTGGAGAGAATCCGGGATATCGACCTGTATGAACAGCACTAATGGGTTTTCCTGCTGGGTCTGGTCAACAGAAGGCCCCGATGGGGTAGGAGTCCAGGGTGTGTACTCCCCCAGCTCCCATTCTGTGGGGCCCCAGTGCCTGCTGGGCTAGACTCTGGTTGCACTCCAAGTCCCCCTCCAGGCTCTGGTTCCTACTCCCTCACCTCAACCCTCCAGGCAGGGGTGGACGGCTCTCCTCTGTGGCCTGCCCGGTGGTGCTGCATTACTCCTCCCTGCTTTCCTAAACCCTGTCTACATTCGGTCACCGAAACTTCACTAAACTCTTCTCTGATTACTCAGCTTGGGGAGGGACTCTCTGCCTCTTACTTGTACCCTTAATCAGTATGTATGACCGTGTGAACCACATGAGTTCCAATCCCATGGACCCCTGAGCTGACACGAGGATCCAAATCAGTGACCTCAGTCCTTTTGTTCTGTCCTGCTCAGGTGAAGGCAAAAAGACCTTTACGACCACCTAAGCCCCGATTCTCCTTCTATTCCATGAGAGCAAAGGAGGACATCTGCATTACTGTGTTGCCGCCCTGGGTTTTCATGGGATACTGACGCAGTCATCCACTAACTCAGTTGATAAACACACTCAATTTGGTTTATGAAAATCGCTTTTGTAAACTCTAAAAAACTCACGTTGTTGGTGCCTAGTCACACTGATCTTCAAAGGTCAGTGGAACCCTGCGGCACTAGCCTAAGATAATCACGCTGCCTTGAGCATGCACAGAAAGGAAGGATGGAGGGAAAGAAAGGAATCACACCTATGTGCTACCGAGCGTGTTGACTTTGTGCTGAGCATTCCTCTGGACACTAGATGAGGCCCCAGAGCCTGCCCTTGATTTGCCTCCAGCCTTTCTCGGGGAGATGTGACATCCCAGAGGCCAGAACGGCGAAGACCACTGTCCATAGCTGTATGGACAGCCCAGGAGTCAGGATGTGGCTGTGCTCACCAGGAAAGCTTCTGAGAGGAACCACGATTCGAACTGGGTCTTTAAAAGATGCATTCATATTTTTTTTTCAATAACTGGAAGAAGGAAGGATCATTTAAGTGGGGAAAGGGCCAGAGCAAAGCACAAGGGCAGTGACACATACAGCTCAATCAGGGGATCATGATGATCAGGGACCTACATCCCAAAGTTGTGCAGAGTGAGGCTGTGTAGATGTGTCAGTCGAATGTTGGTGATGAAGGGAAAATGATGATGGTATCAGGAGAGGTAAGAGAACTCTACTTTTATGGCACTGATCAGCTCCATCCATGGGAGGAATGGAATTTTCTTGCAAAAGTAGGTAAAGGATTTTCACTTTTCCTTCCTGCAAATCATTAAACCTATAACGAGTCAAATTTCTAAGAGCTTCCAAGAGCAGCTACATGGACCAACTGGGCACCTGTTTATGTCTTGGTGGCAGGTTGGTGTCCGTAGTGACAGATGGACATTAGAAGCACGCCTCTGTGCAGCCAGTGGATGCCATGTCACCTCACCCTACATGGTGGGCACCTGCACATATACTTCTGGGGATCTTAAATGTGACACGGTAGGCCAGGAAGCTTGCCCACGGAAGTAGTCACCTAAATATGCACAAGAGTGTTCCTTCCAACTTTATTTGTAATAGCAGTAGTCTGGAAACATCTTGTAAGTGCATCGGTGGGAGACTGGATTAACACATTAAGCTACCTGTGTGTTAGAAAGAGGCAAATCTAAATGTACTATGGTTCTTTTATTTTAATATTTTTATTTATTTATTTATTTATTTATTTATTTGGGGGGGGGCAAGAGACGGAGAAAGCCCCTAAGGGTGCTATGAATCTTAATTGAAAAGAGCAAATGGCCAAACAGCATGATCCCAGATCTTTTTTCCTTTAATGAATATGTATATGTGTATGTGCCTATCTACATATCCATATAAAGAGGCGTACAGATATGAAAAATAGTGTAATGGTTAAGAGCCCAGGGGCCCCTGGGTGGCTTGGTTGATGAAGTGTCCAACTCTTGATTTTGGCTCAGCTCATGATCTCGGGGTTGCACAATCAAGCCCCGTGTCAGGCTCTGTGCTGAGTGTGAAGCCTGCTTAAGATTCTCGCTCTCCCTTTGCCCCACCCCTCCTGCTCTCTCTCAAAAAAATTTTTTTTAATAAATAAAACTATGGTTGACCCTTGTACAAGGTGGAGGTTAGAGGCACTGACCCCCCACACAATCAAACCCCCCCCATAACTTTTGGTTCTCCCAAAACTTAAATACTAATAGCCTACTGTTGACTAGAAGCCTTGTTCATAACATCAACAGTCAATTAACACATATTTTGTATGTTCTATGTATTATATACTGTAATTCTTGTAATCAAATAAGCTAGGAAAAAGAGAACATTATTAAGAAAATCATGTTGGAGAAAATACATTGCCAATACTGTCCTATATTTATTTTTTTTTTAAACTCTGCATATAGGTGAACCCATGCAGTTCAAGCCCATGTTGTTAAAGGGTCAGCTGTATTTTTAAGAAATAAAGTCCACCACCCCCTCTGAGCCAGTGTTCTGCCCCTGATATGTTTTTCCTCAAACTTGGCTCATAAAAAACTTTCTCAAATGCTGACTCACAACCAAAGCTCACAGCTGAAGAGAGCCATGACACTTTGCCTTTTAAAAAAAAAGTCCCTATTTCCACTTGGCACCCACAGTGTGGAGGGGGCAGGTGGGCAAAGGGGAGAATGTGGAACATCAGGGCCCTACCTCCCTGGAGCACCGTGCTATTACCCTGTTGTGGGTGCAAAGGTAGGAAGCTGTGAAGGCAAGCCCCACTGCAGCAGTAGATCAAGCCAGAGGCTTGCTCCCTTGTTCCTGTATCTGAGATGAGGACTCTTGGGTCCCCTCCTAAGAGGTCTCAACATTTAATTAAAAAAAAAAAACAATAAACAGATCTTTTTTTGGTCTTGCTGTTTGCACAAGTGTTAAGTTACAAATTCAAACAGCAGAGGAGAGAGAAATAAAGGGAAAGCCCCTGTCACTCCACCCGCTAAGCCTCCCAGAATATTTTCTGTGCATTTACTGACACCGTGTCTCTCCCCCTCATCCTTATGTCCCCAGAGCCCATCATAATGCCCTGGCCAGAGTAGGTGCTCATTTCAACCTGCTGGGTGAGAGTGGATATGTGAGCAAGAGAATAATGGTGGCAACTCCCCCACTCTCTGTCCTTGGTTTCAGGGAGCTGGTTTTGACTGTGGAGTTTAGACAGGACCAGCAGTTGATCCTAGCACCTAAGAAT